TTTCCCTTCCCTAGACGGTAGAAAATGTACGGTTTCAGCTGAATAAATTAAAGGTGCCTATTTCATGCTGGCATAGATCACGTAGTTAGGAACTGCTCTGCAGCACTTGCTGCCTGAAGTCAACAGTATTTGTGTTTTACAAGGCCACTGCTTTTTCTACGTCAGGAAACTTTTCTTTCTGTAGCCTAGAGGAGACCAGCCTGCTAACCTGTTTTGCTAGACAGTATTTACCTAAGACATTTTCTCTGCTTTCTGCCCTGTGATGAGAGGGAAGCAACATCCCATCAGAAATACTGCGGGTGGGGAACTGCTGCTGTAGCTGGGGGGAAGCCTGGGCACAGCGTGGTGCGCATTCGGTCCTCAGCTGTGGCTGACGCTGTAGCATCTTTGTGTTAAACTAAAAAATTTTCCCCCTTCCTGGCAGGGGTTTGATTTTTAGGTTGGGGGCTTTTTTTTGAAATAAAAGAGTTCTCTGAACAGGCACATTGGGGTAAGTTTGCATATATGCCAGTTTGTGAAGTTTTACAGGGAATCCTTTGTTTAAAAACCAAGTGGAAAGGAAAGAAGAGGTTGCTCCTGAGCGCACTACTTGGCACTGCTACTGCACCTCCAATACTGCACCTCCATTGTCACGTCCTGCTTGATTATTTTGGAATGATTCTGTAGTTTCTGTAGGTTGTACTTGCATTGGCACATATGCTTGTTAGCGCACACCTTCATTTTAACTCAAACAAGGTTTCTTAGCCTGCAAGTTATGGATGCAGCAGGGCTGAAAACAAACAACTAGTCCAAGCACCCAAACCATGGCTTCTGCTGCTGCTTTCCTGGCTGCTCCACTGCCTTTTGTTGGCCTCCGCTGCTCTTGCATACAGTGCTCTCTGAATGGCACGAGCGTGTACTGAAGAGCTGTTTTGGGCGTCTTTCATTTTTCAAATAATTCATCAATTCATCTTTTGGGGGAGTGGGGAAAAGGTTGTGTAAATAATAAACTAATACTGCACTTTTGTACTGAAAACTGTCAAATACATATGAAACTAGTAAAGCTCAAAGAAAAAAAAAAGCCACAACCACATATTTACTACAAAGAAAAAAATTTCTTGTCTTTTTATAAAGTGGATTCTTAGAGCTTGCATAAACATCCAGTGAAGATGGAGAAAGACCAGGTGTGGGAGCACAACATATTCTGTAGTGGGAGCAATGAAAGTGCATTTTTGTTTTGTTATTTTTCTCCTTTCACTCGGTAGGGAGAATCAGCTGACACGTACGGCATACGCTTCTCAGGAGTTTGGGAGCTTTCTAGAAAGGCTGCGATGTGTTAAGGGTAAAAGCCATTGAGTTAGGCTGCTGTAGATCACTCAGGTGCACTCTTCTTGAGAAGCATCCTGGGTACGGGAAGCAAATGGCTTTGTGAAGTTCAAAATCATTGCAGGCATGGAGGCTGCCTGGCAGGCTCCAGCTGGGCAGGGTGTGCGTCCCCCTCCCGGGCCAGGGGCTGGGGCTCCCCGGGGCTCCCTCCTCAACTTCATCGTTTCCTGTCTTGCAACAAGAAGGCAAAATGAAGTTTGGTCTTTCAAAAAAATCCCTAGTAGAAAGAAGAGGTTTGTCATTTTAACTAGTGGGAAAACTAGGTTAGTAAGAAGGAAAAAAGTGCTTCAGAGTTCTTTGAGGCAGAAGATCTATACAAAAATAAGTTGTGTAAGATCAGGTGATGAAGCTGTATGACCAAATGCAGTTTTCTCTGCCATCAAATGCCGTGCTTTGACAAATACATTACAGTTATTTTGAAATAATTTAGTGGATTGAGAATGTTTTGCAACATGGCTGCACCTCTAAAGCCAAGAAGCTGGTTTGTTTGCAAAGGCGATGGGTGTGGGATGGTCTCAGCATCCTTGGGCATTGCAAGACCATCAGTTCAGAAGCTTTAACATCCTAAAAATGTCATAGCCTATTCCTTGTGTTACTCAAGAGCTGTTTTCATATGTACGTATTTAAACGTACATGCAACTGTATAAGTAACCAGATGGTTTCCATACACCTTTAACTGATTCCTGAATTTGAGGTAACCATTATATCTTCACTCATTTAAAAATATGAATATTCTTTATGTTTTTGAAAACAAGCCATAGGTTTGTTCTGGGTTGCTTTTATGAGTCAACTTTGGGTGAAAATGATCATTAATTGGAATGCTGGTTTCGGTTTTTTTTCCTATTATTTGGAGGCCTTTTCCACCAAATCTTTTCAGATTTTTTGTTTTGGCATTCTGGAGACAATTCATTTTAAACTTGCCCTATTTGCAACTACAAAGGAAAGAGCTTTTAATACATGAGATCAGGTAGCTTTGCCTGAATTAACACAGACGTGCCGAAGTGTTCTCTTAGGAGGAAAAAAGCTATATAATGTCATGTTGCAAATGCGTTTGGAATCTGCTCAGAAGAGTTTCTCCAAGTAATTTTTTTGATAGCCAAGTTTTTGATCTCTCTGAAAACACAGTGGTTTTTCTTTGTAGATTTTCATCATTGAATGTGTACCTTGGAACATTATTTTGCATGGAAAATACCCTCTTCTTTCCATGTAGGCAATAAGATTAAGCTTATGTAGCCTTTTATCAACAGAACAACTTATTCATCTCAGATGTACTAATTAACTTGTCTCTTGCTTAAGGGTTTGGCTGTTGAACATGTGTTTAAAAAAAGAAAAAAAAAGGTATATTGGGCATTTAACTATATTGCAACAAAAAGTCACTGATCTTTTGCTGGTTTTGTATTGCAGTATGCCAGGGTTTGGATCCCTGATCCAGAGGAGGTCTGGAAGTCAGCAGAACTTCTCAAAGATTATAAACCTGGAGATAAAGTCCTCCAACTTCGACTTGAAGAAGGCAAGGTAGGCCTACGTGTTGTTCATCAGCTGATAGTTCTTGCTCTTGACCGGAGACTGATGTATCTGACACAAGAAACTGTATTGTCAAAATATATCCATATTTAGGTATGTGCAATTATTCTTGTCTGCCAGCTTTGAGTAGTATTTTTTTGTGTGACGAATTATACTGTTTGTTTACAAAAATCCATTTTGCCTGAATTTTAAAAATAAAATAAAACGTGTTGCTTTTCTCCAACTGCCTGTTACGTTCAGTTGCATCATTTTTTTCTACTTATGCCGTTGAAGCCGTGACCGTGGTTTGATATTCCAGTGAGGACAGTGTTGCTAGGAGAACAATGTTGCAGAGAAAGAATTGTGAATTTTAAGTGGAGCATAACCATCAGAAGATTAGTAAAGATAAAAAGGGGCAAGGATTAAGAGAATTACGGAAATGATGCTCTGTACGATGTAGAGAAACGATGACATCTACAGAAAGCTCATATCCTTCTAGAAAAGGCCTGTTCATTTTTTTTATGCCATTTCAATGGTTACTTAATTTTAATATATAATGATGGTGATCCCTCAGATCTTCTCATGGAAAATAAAGATCTACTGCAGTTGATCAAGTATTTATTTTTAATTTAATTTAATTTAATTTAATTTCTTTTCTTCTTACCAGTGGCCAGCTTAGGTCCTACTTTCATGTGAAGACCTACATAGCCATGAAGTAAAAAGAACAGATTATATAGAGAGAATAGGTTCTAAATAAAATATTCGTAGAATCACAGAATCATAGAATGTTTTGGGTTGGAAGGGACCCCTAGAGGTCATCTAGTCCAACCCCCCCGCAGGAGCAGGGACACCACTAACTAGATCAGGCTGCTCAGAGCCCCGTCCAACCTGGCCTTGAATGCTTCCAGGGATGGGGCCTCCACTCCCTCTATGGGCAACCTGTTCCAGTGTTTCACCACCCTCATTGTAAAGAACTTCTTCCTTATATCTAGTCTAAACCTACCCTGGTTTAGTTTAAAACCATTACCCCTTGTCTTGTCAC